CTGCTTGCCTGCTTGCCTGCTTGCCTGCTTGCCTGCTTGCCTGCTTGCCTGCTTTTCTCCATTGCTTCCCTTTTTTCTTCTTTCCAACGACAGTTATAAATTATCCATCATTAAATTATAAACAAGTAAGGCATACTTACTAATGCTTGAATGAAATGTATAATAAACTTTCGCGTTGGGCCAGCGGTAAACCGGATTTATTATAGCATCACGTGACGAAATCTTTCCACCAATCAATGCGCGCTTCATGTTATCGTCCATAACAATATCCCCTTCAAATAATCCTAGAAAGCAAGAAAAAGTTGAAGCTTTTCTTTCGTTTTCGATATTTTTTTAAATTCAACTTCATGAGTGATCATTCTCCTTACCAGCTTTTTCCTCCACACTCGCTTCATCGTTTTTCTTGAATGAATCTAAAAGAAGAAGAGGCGCGGTTATGATTAGATCCTGTAATGAATCGAATTGACCAGCGATGCATACTATAACAATCACGCAATACCGACTCATAACATTTAATTACAAAATAAAAATATCCTAACACGAAACAAACCAAAACTGATATAGGCAGAATAAAAAAAAAGTTATGATCTCTATTTTTTCAAAATTTTGTTGCAACGAATAATGGATTTTTACTGAGCGATTTGCTTTCGTAAACTAGTTTTTAATATTAATATTAAAAAAACTTATCTCTAAACTGGTTTAAAAAACTTGATACGAAATACAAAGTGTGTGCTGTTTATTATACAGCTTTTTCGGAGCCTAAAAAAGAAAACGTTAGTAATCAGAACCAGTGAAGAGGCTTCAGAAAATCAATACTAAACCAATACTTTTTTTACTGGTCACGTGATTTTTGGATTAATTTAAAACAAATTTATAAAAAATATATACAAGATTCGATATACATGACTGATCTTCGCAGGTTTTAACTGCATGATTTATTACAGTATATTAAAATACTATTAGCTGGGATAAAAGACTATTATTAATTAGTGATCAAAAATATTATAAAAACATATTTATGTGTCAGATTTGCTTTTAGAAGAACTTTATTTAAGTTTAAGTAGACTAAACTGTTTCAAAACTTGTTGAATTAAGGTAAGAATTCAAAAAATCGCTAATATTTTGTATGAGTTAAAGTACGTGCTCGCACATAAATGTTCTGGTTCACCGACTTTTTACTTCAACCAAAGTTAAGGCCGAAGGGAAAACAACCTTAAAACTAGCTCCTATATAATGATAATAATCACTTCTTTTAAAAGTTTAGAATATAATTTAAAGAATTGCTAAGAGTACGCTTCTTTTTAGATTCAATTTACAGTATTTTTTGGAGATGTGGGGAGGGGGGGGGGGGGGGGAACAACATGCAACATCGTGTAATATCACACACGAAGCCTTACAGACTCCATTTTTGATAAAGAAGAAAAGCTTTAAACTATTTTCATTAGGATTGCAGTTAAAAAATACAGATAAAAACCATTTTTTTGATTACAAGAATTAAATTTCTTATCGATTCTTATCATATTACTAAATTAATTTTTAAATATTGAAGCTGTTCTTTGTTTGCTCAACGTCATCAAAGACCAAAACTTGTCAGCTTTTCGAAAACTTTTGATCGCCTTTTTAATGCTAATTTATGAAAAAAATCCATCGTACCTACCTTGGAAATTCTTTCCATTCATCTTGTCTATAACCCCAGAGTTGATGACTCCAAGAAAAGCGAAGACCAAAATAACGTGTATAGAATACTTTGCCATTTAAATTTTGATACGCTTCGTTGTTTTTGTCTTCAGTCAACAACAAGTTCCTCAACCTTTTGATCGGGAAAAGCTTTCAAATCTATCCTAAACTAAAAGTGAACTTTCTAAAGTAGATTTTTCGAACTAAACTATTGTATAAAGTCCATCATGGATTTAAAGAAGAGAGCTAAAACTACTTATTTTTAAAGCCCACTTGAATTCATGGTATGCGTGCTGCATACGTAAAAGCTAGCGACCTCTAAATACATTTTCCACGAATCAATGATTTTTCCCTTTTCGATTTTCATAACGCTTCCGTACTCATAGTAATTTTGAAAATAATCTTTTACCGTTTCAGTGGAATTTTCCTTATTTTATTAAAGCAAAAACATGCTCGTCTAAAAAGCTTAAATAGTTATTTTAAAGGAACTTCTGAAGTCCATACGACGCCTCAACTTTTTGTGACACTGCATAGTTTTATGGAGCTATTTATAGAATATCTGTAAGTGGAAAGAAGTTCCAATCTTATTGTATCCAGATCAGTATATTTTTATCTATTTTTTAATTTTATTTTTTTCCCATTTAAATCCGATCCCTCATCGTCATCAAAAATATCTGAAGAATATATAAGGTACTCTCTTTACTTCTACATGTTTTTTTCGCATGTCCAAAATCTTTACTTTCGCTACAGAAATAATACTCCAGGAATTTTAAATTATTGAACCGCTGTATCACATTATTTTTCTCTTTGGTTAGCACAGGGAACCCACACATAAGAATACGATATAAGTGGTCAGACATGCATTTACCGCTTGACAAATCATGACTGCTAATTATTTAAAACTAATGACTTTAAGACAGTCATTAAACTTTATATCTAGCTAATTAAAGTCGTTTCTTCGGGACCTGGGGAGGATTTTGATGCTACATAGATATCATAAAGATTAAGATTAAAGCCCCAAAAGGCTTTATCTTTTTCATGAATACCAGTGGTTGCTACTCTCATTTTTGTTTTTTACCTCTTCCTCCTAAATTCTCCAACCCCCCAAGGCGATTTAGCAAATCGAGGTCCATTTTCTATGGCCTGTGCTCTTTTCGAACTCAAGTGGAACCACAAGCGCAGAGAGTTTTCATGTTCGATAAGAGTACAGACCACTGAATGATAGAAAAGCGACCTCGATTGTTTTTTTCCGTTAAATATATCACTAACATGCATTATTGTTTCGACGTTTTTAGTGATAAAAAAAGAAAAAAAAAAAAAAGAAAAAAAAGGAAAAAAACAACAACAACAGCAACAACAACAACAACGGAAAGAGCGTGCGCGCTCGTTGACGTCAGCTTATTGGTCTGTCCTCTTATCGATCATAAAAAAATAGCCAATCAGCGGGCGATCAATTAACAATTCGTAGTAAAAAATTACCGGTTTCTTAGGTACGTATAGAAATGATTTATTGCCTAAAAATAAAATTTCCTTGTTAAAAAATATCGACGGAAATCTAGCGACGTTAAACTCTTTTGAATTTGAATTTTATTATTTTGTTTTAGCACAAGATCTTTCTCGATTTCTTTTCTTTTCTCGCGTATTTTTAACTCTATTTTGAAAGAACTAAGGGATATCTAGGACATACGTATTATAAAGAGACAAAATCGATGTTCAACTATGTCGAGCAGACGAAATCTGCTATTCATAATCGTATTTATCTTGAACTTCTTGGTAAACAAGATGGCTAATTCAGGTAAGCAATTCCCTATCGTATTTTTAGCAGCACATTTTTTATTGTAGTTTGAGAAATATTAATGAACTATTTTTTTGAGAAATATTATTGAAATATTTTTTTGGGAATGACTGTTTTTGTTTCATGTAAGAACGATTTTGAACAGATTCAAAATGGCTGGATATTGGTCAAGAGTTCATCGAAGCAAAACTCGTTACTATTATTAAACTCTAGTTTTCTTATGGCGTTATCTTGCCTTTTTTGTTACTTTTAATTGCTTGAAAATGTTTCTATTAGTAAGTTTTTTCCTGGTGTTTTCCGAGTTTTATTCGTTAAAAATGTTTTTGCGACGAATTGTTCTATCGCAAAAACGAGACTAGCAAACATGGAAACCAGTTTTAAAATTCATATTATCTTTAATTTTTAGCCTTAAAGAAAATTAACTGTGAAGGGAAGAAACTAGTTTAATTCAGATAACAACTTGGATTTCACTTTGAAAATTATATTTTAAGAAATAATGATTATAGATAAGCTATTATTTAAGCACAATCGTACGAAAGCTACTGGAAGCCATTTCAGTGTTAGTGCGTGCGTATAGCGTATGTAAGTCTTTATATCGACAGTCTTATCAGTTCTCAGTCAATAACAAAAATGTACAATCAAAATATTATTAAGGGTTTCACTTTGAATATCATATTTTGAGAAATACTAATTAAGGATGAGTAATACTTCGTTTTCACGTTACGTCATCTAATGGACTTTAACAAAAGACTTCTTTATTAGGTTCTTTTGTGCATGTTTACTAGCAAGGCTGCCATGTCTTTGTCTTTTAATCCTATTGGGAATGGTTGAAAACCGCCAATAGAGATAATATAAGATTAATAGTGACATTGACCCCTCATAAGGGTCTAGCTTCACTTTCACCCCCAAAGGAGTTCAGTGCTCGACCAACATCAACGTTTATGGTTTGGACAGAATATATATGTCCCCCTTCCCCCCCCTCC